GATTACTTTGGCTTTATCCCTGAAACTTAGGAATGACTCAGAATACACAAGTCAATAAAAATAATGACACACATAAATGGACTTAAAGGTAAGAATTGCATGACCATTGCCATAGATTCAGAAAAATACTTAAACAAGAGCTAACATGACTTTTATTATAAAGTCTTAGAGGATGTAGAGCCAGAGGGAACATGCCCCAAAATACCTCCGTGTAAGCTATGTATGAGAAATTCGCAACCAACCAAATCATACTAAATGGAGAAGGTTGAAGAAATCCCATTGAAGGCAGGAGCAAGACTGGGAGGTCCACTGCCCCCACTCCTTTGTAATGCTGTATATAGATCATTGGCTGGAGAAAAAAGCAAGAGAAGGAAATAAAAGAGACACAAATAGGAGAAAAAGAAGTCAAACTATCCCCATTGCCAAAGGATATTAAAGTATACATTAGAAATCACAAAATTCTATCAGAAAGCTTGTAGAAAAATAAGCAATGTGGCAAGATACAGAGTCAGTTTTCACAAACCAACAACAAACACACAGAGGAGATCATGGATGTGCTCCCATTCACAATGATGTAAAAGAAAATGAAATATCTAGGAATAAACCTAACCAAGGAAGTGGAGGACTCCACAATGGAAACTTTAAACTTCCAAAGAGAAAAAGATAATAGAAAATGGAAAGACAGTCCATGCTTGTGTATTGGTAAAATTGATACTGTGTAAAAATGACCATTTTATCAAAGACTATTTTCAGATTCAACACAATCATAATCAAAATCCCCATCTGATTCTTTAGAGAAATAGGAGTGTACTAGAATTTATATGAAACTTCAAAATATCCCAAATAGAAAAGTAACCCTGAGTAAAACAGAGCAATGCTAGAGGGTTAACAAAACCAGATCATATGATATATTACAGATACATATTAATGAAAAGATACTATACTAGCACATAAATAGGCATACAGACCAGCAGAACGAAATAGAAGACGTAGGGTAAATTTAACTTCAGCCACTTAATATTTGACAAAGATTCATGTGTAGGAAAGGACTTCCTGATTACAATTCCGTTGGCTCAAGAATTAACGTCAACTGCTGTCAATAGAATCTCATGAATCTAAAAAGCTTCTGCACAACTAATCAACCAGGTGAAGAGGAAGCCCACATAATTGGAGAAAATCTTTGCCAGCTACATAACTGACAGAGGATTAATATCCAGAATATATAAAGAACTCAAAAAAGAAAGACTCGTGAAACCAAGTGATTTATCCAAAACCTGGGACTAGAATCTGAACAGAGTTCTTAGAAAAAGAAGAAAAAAATATTGGGTAAGAAATGTCTCAAAAATGTCTTTAGAAATTAGGGAAATGTAAATCAACATACTTGTGTTTTCTTCTTACTTAAGTCAGGATGACAAACATCACCAAACAATTTACAGTAAATGCTGGAGTGGGAGTGAGGGAGCTTGTTCATGTTCATTGCTGCCATATTCATAATTTCTAGAAAATGGAATCAATCTAAACCTTCAACTGACAAATTGATAATGAAAACATACAAGTACAATGGAACACTATTCAGCTATAAAGAAAAATGAAGTCATAAAACTGGAAAAGATAATGCTGAGTCTGGTAACCCAGTCCCAGAGAGACAAATATCAAATGTACTATTTTATCTCTGTTCCCAGCTCTAGGTCTTCAGATGTGGGGACATAGCCTGGAGTAACTGGAGAAGCCAGGAAAGTACAATGAAATCATTGCCAGGTTAGGGGGGGCTGGGGAGCGATAGAGAAGCAAAGAGCAGGGTCCTAGTGGTCTGATCAAAGGATGGGGAAACTGTGGGCTCTTTAAGAAGGAGACAGAGGTAGATAAGGAGGAGGAGGGAGCAGGGTAAAAGGGACAAGGAGTGAACAAGTGATTTGGTTAGAAAAATGAAAAAAGGGGACCTCCTCATGGTGGAGTAGGGAGGTAAACACAGAAGAAAGGAGGAAGGAAAATAAGAGTTTCTGGGAAAGCCACAATGAATCATATGATCAAATGTTTACTTAAACCTTTAAATTTAATGTGTATTAATATGCATATATAATTTAATGAAACTTTTTTCTCTAGTAACATTGCTGTCTCCAAGAGCCAAAGACCACCTGACAAAAATCTCAGTATCAGGCATGAGAACCCTTCTTTTTTGTTGTTGAGCAAAACATACAGCCCAATGCTATTGTCATCGGTTATCTCCTATAGGTGAAAGGTAAATCCCTATTGCTGAAAATACTATTCACTTCATAAACAATGCCCAGAGACCCCTGAACTAGAACTGACTTGATTGCCTCCTCCCTGAGGACTAACTTTCATGGTACCAGAAGATGCCATTCAAGCTTCCAAAAGGATGCAGCAATCAATCCTAACTAGCTGTGAGGCCTATGAATCACACCAATGACAGCACGGCATGATGACTCTAAGAGTGCAGTAGTGGCACACATTACTTGGCAGTAACCAACAGCTCTCTAACTAGACTTAAGGTCTACTCAATAGAAGGAAATTCATGACTGATATTAGAAACCTACCTAACTATCAGTGCTAGTGAAGTCATGGATATTGAATTTACAAGCACTACTTTACTGAACCAGCATAATGTCTAACAACAATCTAAACATTTGTCCTTATATCCATAGATAAGTGTAGTCTTTACTCCTCATCAAGGAAACTTCCCTTTGAAACATCAGGGAAGACCATTGCAGAAAGCTATAACCAAACAAAATATAGTCGTGGAGCCCAACCCAAATGGATATATCTATAGAACACTCCTGCACCGAGAGCTCAGGAAACATTGAGGAGTTGGAAAAGGGTGTAAGAGCCAGAGGAGGATCAGAAAGTTTGCTATGAGGATGCATTTCCTAATAATGTCAGAAACAGCACCCACAAAGTCTTCCAAAATCATGGCTTTTGTAAACATGGACTGAACAAGGAAATAAAAAATTGACATGCCAAAGTAGACTTTGGAAGGACCACTCAGGCCTCAACCCTAAACAAAGAACTAAAGACAAATAAAGAATGCTGACAGTGGAAGAAATATTTTCCCCAAGGAAGCACACATCAATTGGTTAATACCCACTAGTCATCCCTAAACAGACACACACACACACATACACACACACACACACGTAACATACAAACCAGGAGGTGTATTTACTTGTACATATATGCATGAAATTACAATGATAAAAAGATGTTATACATTTGGAAGAGAGTAAGAAGGGGTGGATAGGATGTTCTGTAATTATGGAAGGGTAGACAGAAATGTAGTTATAATCTCAAAGTTTTAAATAAAGGCATAGGACTAATATGCCTAACATACAGTGGGCAGGTTGCCATTTTGTTTTCTATGCCCCAAAGGCCCCAAGTCCCTCACTCTTCAGCGAATGCATTGTGCTTCTTCAGTTGCTCTGAGATTTGAATTTTCCTGATGCTTCTGGACTTGTTCCTCTCCAAGGGACTCTGTACCCCCATTAGGATTGGTTGGAGAGATGAGTGAGAGCCAATGCTCCTGATCTACAGCCTGGTCCTTTTTATATCACAGTAAACCACGTGGTGGATTATAAAGGTCCCTGTGCTTTTATTTTCACCTGAAAGCAAAACTCAAAGTACCATAGCTTACCTTCAGCAAGGGCAGAATACTTCCCGGAGGGGAAAGTCTTGTGGAATTGTGTCCCTTTCTTGGTGGGTCCAACTTCCTGACACTAGTGTCCCCCACTAACAGCCTTTCAGTTTGTTGTCCCTACCTTTTCAGCATAGGCCAGCCTCATCACACACACACACACACACACACACACACACACACACACACACACACACACACACACACGAATGGTCTTCCTAAGTACCAAAAACTAATTATCAGTGATCTCATATGGTGATGCTTTATGGAAGGAGTTACTTTTCTATCTACCACATAATGTGTGTAAGGTTACACTCTCTCTAGCAGTATGAACATTTTGTTATTATGTGAAATTTATATAATTCTCTGCTCCTTTCTGTCCTGTCCCCATCCTCCTCCTTGTCCCATCCAATTTTAAATTTCATTTCTGGGTTTTCTGGGTCTCCAAGAAGGGACTATTGTGGGACTAGAGACGTCTCTGAGGGCATTCTTTAACAATGAGGTGCCTTGCTAATGCAACTCCACAGATTTGAGTCCTTATCTTAGAGCCCACTGTACCCTCAATTTCCAACGAGGCAGGAGGGGAGGCAGAGGATTAATCTTCTGGGAGAGTAGAGGTAATTGATGACCTGCCCACATAATGGCCATGTCACATGCTCCCACAAAGAAGTTGCTTTTTTCTGAATCACGATTCACTTTCATTAAATCTCACAAAAGCCTAAAAATTAAGCCGAACTAAGCAGTGAAGCATTTAGCCAATCACCTTTTCTGAAGAAAAGGGAAAAGTATTACACAAATTCCTGTCAGAAAATTCAGGCCGTGTGGTCATCATAGTTCTGGGATAGATATGCAAATTAAGTATGAAAAATGGTCAAGTCCTAAGAGAAACTTTTTTATATAAAAACAGCTTGAACATTGGAGTCATGTATCCTGGTGAGGCTAAAATTGGCAAAGGCAGAGCTGAATGCCAAATGATAATTTCTGCTAAATAATTCAGGCCATGTGAACTCTGATATTTTCCTTGCTTTAATGAGTATAATGTGTGCAATTACCAACTGCTTTCCTCATGGAGCCAGACAATGTGCCTTTTCCTAATTGTGGGCTCCATTTTTCTTTAGGTAACTCATATCTGCAACGTTTCCTAAAAACCCAGTGTCTTGCATGGCTAGCCACTAAACAAATGTTCATTACTAAGTTGATGGTGATTATAAGGAAGATTAAAAGGACTGTAGAACAAAAGCTGAGCGTGTCTATAAGGTGGTCAGCAATAGACAAATGTCATGGAAATGATCAATCTCATGACGTGGGACCTGAGCCCCTCTGTGACACTGTCTTTCTCCTTTTCCCCATGCAGGGAAGTGACACTGACACGGTGGATAAGAATAAGTGCTGTACACTCTGTAACATGTCCTTTACCTCAGCCGTGGTGGCCGACTCCCATTACCAAGGCAAAATCCACGCCAAAAGGTTAAAACTGTTGCTAGGAGAGAAACCTCCATTGAAAACCACAGGTATGTGTGGGAACCAATGATCCAGGCCGGCACCGAGAGCCATACACTGCATCTGTCGCATGAATCACCCTCTCTTCAGAAACTGCAAACTTTGTGGCTCTAATGGCAGGTGCCATTCAAAACCCATGGGGACAGACTGGGAGCCTGGGCATACCAGACCACCGCGTGTGATTTCAGCAACTATTGTTTACACCCTCTAGTATGTTTGCTACACCAATTACAAACCTTTTAAGACACAGGTCTGTGGTACTGTCTCAGGTTCGGCCTGTATCCCACATGGCTATGGATGTGCACACAGCATAGCAGATAGGTTCTGCCAATGTCTATGTAAAGCTAGTGCCATCTTTACATTTGTGCTTTACATGCAGCTGGGTGTTATTTTTATTATGTTCTTAGTTTAGTGTAGAGGAGGCAGTGATGGAAACTAGTCTTTACAGCCACTTTAGTTTGGAGACGAGTATGTGTTTATGACATTCTTGTTATCATTGCTGGGGAAGCTGTGATTCAAACCTACTAAATTTCATCAGTAGAAAATACTGATAGCAGACTACTTGACCTTCTAAATGCTTAACCAAAGAATATCTTCATAGGTTTAGCAAATCATAAGGCTGAATTTTTTTATATAATTTAGTAACACTAAAACTATTTGTACTAGATTTATATCATGATGAAGATGTTAGTGTACTGGGTTATAATCCCAAGAAGTTAGGGGATATTTTTCATTATGTCTACTTTTGCAGTGCAATTAAAATTTAGTAGTGCATCTTATCTGGCTGTCTAATGAATCGTGCATAAATCGTGGGTGTAATTATTTTTAAATGGTATTTTGGAAACCAGAGAGTGTCTGAAACAATGCTTGGCATTTACTCCCCTAGAGTTTTTCTTAAGCAACAATCTTCTTTTGCTTAGAAAATAGCAAAAAATCTTTTCTTTCCCAGCTTAGTTTGAGTAAAACATATTGTGTTCTTGGAGGTGGATGTGACATTCATGTGTAGAATGGTTTTGGCTGGGAACAAGTACAGCTTATTTTGGAGCCTCTACGTGATGTGGCATTGATCAAGCGGTGCTCTATTGAGACGCTTGTTCTCTGAAAGGTTGGGGCACTAACCTTGTGACCTACACATCGTCAAACCTCTTAAAATAGACACCACAAAGAAACAGTCACTGGAAAACTTTTATCTGATCTTTCCATGAATGAGTAACTAGCTGGTGTGTTCTCTTTGCCTAGCAGAATAGTGATGTTGAATTTTATTTTGGAAGTAGTAATGGGAGGAGAGGGGTTGCATCTTTGTTTATTGTATTGATTGGTAAACAGGAAAATGATCAAAACTATCACATGCCAAAAATAATTCCTTGTGATTTTGTATCCATCTTCAAGAAAACCAAGGACCAGATCATTTTTCCCAGAACTAGAACTCAAGGGGGACTTACTAACTCATTAACTCTCAATATATGCCAAAGATGGGGGCTGGAATGACACCTTAGAGGGTAAACTCACTATTTTTTACTAAGCTTGTAAAACCTGAGTTTGATTCCTGAACCTCTGTGATGGAAGGACAGAACTTAAACTTTGACCTCAACACATACACTATGGCAAGCATGACTCCCCATAAATAAATATATGAGGGGAGAGGGAGAGAGAGGGGAGGGGAGAAGAGGGGGTATTCCAAAGACAAAATTCAGATCATTCAAGGTGTACCCTTATTTAGTGAGTTGACTCCTGCTATTCATTGTTTGAATTTAGCCATGAGGTTGCAGAAATCCAGGGACCTGTTGGGTCAGAAGATAATGGGAATGGGAAAGGATAAATTGCACTATCAGCTGGAAGCTTCCATTGGGAATCAGGGTGTCTAGTTGTCATCTTAGACTCCTTCTCATCCAGTTCATATTTTCCTTCTCCAGTATCTCATCCATCTGCTTTGAGCAGAAATCATCTTGAAAGGTAGTAACCACAGACAAAATTGAAGTCCTAAGAAGCTAAACTGATTCTCCCAACTGGAATGGTGTCAGCCATTAGACAAAAAAAACCCCACAGAAATAGACATTGGGAGGTATGGTCCAGGCTGAAGGCTATAACATGGATGGGACAAAGGGTAGTATGCTAGAGAGGCTACAGAAAACTTGAGTGATCAAGCAGGACACCTGTAGTTGTTGACAGCAGGATTTTGCTTGCTGTTCTGGGGTTTAGGGAAAATAAGACGGGGTGTCCATTGTCTTAGGTAAGGTTTCTATTGTGACAAAACACCATGACCAAATAGCAAGTTGTGGAGGAAAGGGTTTATTTGGCTTATATTTCAGCAGCACTGTTTATCACTGAAGGAAGTCAGGACTGGAACTCAAGCAGGACAGAAACCTGGAGGCAGGAGCTGATACAAAGGCCATGAAGGGTGCTGCTTACTGGATGCTTCCCATGCCTTGCTCAACCTGCTTTCTTGTAGAACCCAGGACCGCCAACCCAGGGATGGCACCACCCACCATGGAAAATGCCTTACAGCTGGACTCATGGAAGTATTACCTCAGCTGAGGCTCCTTCCTCTGATGACTCTAGCTTGCGTCAAGTGGGCACACAAAACCACCCAGTATACCCATTATGGTACATTCTCACTTGTAAAGTGAATATTAATTATAAAGTAAAAGACGGTCATGCTTTAGGCCACAGACCCAGAGAGGCTAAGTAACAGGGAGGGCTTAGGTTGAGTTGCAAGGATCTCTCTGGTAAGAGGAAATAGAATAGATTTTATAGATGGACTGGGAGGGTGGGAACAAGAGGGATCAGCTGAGTAGGGGAGGGGAAATCCTGGAAGAAATGACTAGAATTTAGCATTTCAGGATGAGCTGGAAACCAAGGGCAACAAAGTTCCATGGAATCTATGAGAGTGACCTAGGAAAGACTCCTAGTAATAGGGGACAAAGAGCCTGAACCGGCCAGGCAAGACCTCAGATGGAGGGACTGGGACACTGACCCAGCCACAAAACCTTCATCCTACAGTTTGTCCTGCCTGCAGAGTGTTCTGGGACCACAGGCTAGCAGAATCCTTATCAAAGAGACTGGAGAGACTTCATCCAGCAAACATGACAACAGATGCAAAGTCCCAAAGTTATTAGGCAGAGCTTGAGGAGTCCTGCAGAGGAGGGGGAGGAAGGACTAGAGGAACGAGCAGGGATAGAGACACCAGGAGAATAAGACCCACAGAATCAATTGACTCATGGGGGCTCGAGGAGATCAGGGAGCCTGTAGGGGTCGGAACTAGTTCACCTGAATATATTTTATTGCTGAGTAGCTTGGTGTTCTTTTGAGATTTCTAACAGTGGGAGAGGGGGCAGTTGCTGACTCTTTTGCATCCTAATGTGACCCTTTTCCTCCTACTGGGTTACGTTGTTCAGCCATGATTTGATAGTGTGTGCCTGGTCTTACTGTACATATTATGCTGTGTTTGGTTGATGTCCCTGGGAGACCTGCTCTTTCCTGAGAGGAGACAGAGGGGGTGTGGATCTGGGGGAGAGGGGAGATGATGGGAGAGACTGGGGGTGGGGAGGGAAGGGAAATTATAGTTATTATATATGAGAGAAGAATAAGAAAATGAAAGAGGGTCATGAGTGACCATCAGTTAATGAGCAGTTGTCAGACTGGAGAGGAACTTCCTTGAGGTGTAGCCCAATGCACAAACCCAGTTATTGTGAGGGCAAGAACCTAGAAGCTGGACAAGTCTGATGTCAGAGCATCCGGAGCTGCTGTGTGTTCTCTGCCTGGCATAATAAAGTCATCCCTTGTAGACCACAGCCTTTCCCAGCAGCAGTTTAGAGAAGGCTCAGTTCCGAGGTTTCCTGTGCACACCTACACATGGGCTAGTACTGCCTAATCAGTTTGGCTGGCTTCAAATTGTATCTTTAAAGAAAACAAAAGGGAAAACTGACATGTAAGACCCAGTCACCTGAATCAGGATGCCAGAGAGAAGCAATTCCCTGCTCAGGTATGCAACTTATGCGGCCATGTCATGAATAGCCTCTCAACCCCCAGTGAATTGGAGCAGAGCTTGTTGCTTCTCTGTGCTCCTTCGTCTGATGGAGATGGGCACTCGGGACTGGCGAATCACTGTTTCCTCCACCTCCACCGTCCTTGGACCACACAGCAGCTGAGCGCTCTGCAGGACTCACTGCCCTTTGAGGTGCCTTGTTCAGGACTACGGAAATGCCTGGCCAGCTCACTGGAATTCTGGAACACAAGCCGGTTCTACATCGTGGTTTATGTCTCGGGATCTCTGGTCCAGACACAGCTGTGAAGACAAAAGCACAAGGAGACAAGGAGAGAGGCTGGACTGCCACGTGTTCACAGGGCCAAAGAACTGGGGTGTGGATTGTGCCCAGATGGGAAGAGAGATGTATGCTGCCATATCCTGTCATTTGCAGGGAGACCAGAGAAACTGGGCTCTGCAAAAAGAGACGGGAGTACAGAAGGCAATGTCACTTAGCTATTACCATAGCAACAGGACAATGACATTCTAATTTGCAATTGGGGGAAGAAAGGCATACAGACCAATTTTAAGTAAAAACAATGATGACGATTTAAAAAGTTAAACAAACAAAAAGAATGATGATGTTTGAACCTTTCCCTCATTCTTCCTCATTCCCTATAGACAAGAGAATCTTAGGGGGACAATGAAACATTTGAATGAACAGGTAATTCACAAGTCACAATTTACCCTTTGGGCTTGCTTTTCTCCAGTCAGTTTCTTGCTGAGTGCTGCTTTGTGCTGTGGAGTCACTGCAGGGCAAGACTGAGAGGTTTGCTGACTTGACTGATGGCTTGTGGCAGAGCCATGGGCAACTGGGACAGTGAAGGAGATAGGGTATGTTCACAGAGTAACCAGTACCCTGAGATTTGTCTGAACACGGAGTCCCAAAGGACCAGAACAGTCGTGAATTCTAAAGCCAGGGTGAATTTAGTCTCTTGCAGCTCTAACAGCAGTATCTGTGAGTCTGACTTGCATAATGTTGGCAGG